AGCCGGTGCAGCTCACGCCAAAAGGGAATGAAGAAGTTCAACTTGAGCGTTTGCACATGCACGGTTATGCCAGGAAGCAGCGAGCTAAGCGTGAAGTCCAGGCTGAACGTTGCAATGGCGCCGAAGCTATGTATCCCGTGCGGGTGGTAAATGAAGAAGTAGTTCGCCTGGGGGTCAAACTTGGCCCGCACATGGCGGGGAATCACAAGACGCACTGGGAAGTAGTTCCTGTAGAGCCCCCACAGCCTGTGCCGCGTGAAGGCGACGCACTTCTTCAGTGGGTGCTTGGGCCGTCCAAGGGTGAAGATGTACACGAGGTACGCCAGCATGAGCGGCATGGTCGTCCAGCTCAGCAGCAGCGCCAGCGTGACCAGGACGGCGGCAGGAATGAATGTAAAGAAAAGAAACAGCGACACCGACAGAGTTTGGAGGCGGCGCTCGAGCGGGATGCTGAAAAAGTGCCACACGCGGCGCTCCCCGCCCTCGCAATCCGCATCGTCGAGGTCAAACGTGTGCGCCTCCGGCCGGGGACGCACGTACTCCTCCAGCTCCCCCAGCGCACAATCGCATGCGACCGCCTTCGCGTCCTGCCGCCTGGAGTCCTCCGTGCCTGCGCTGCTGCTGCGGCTGCTGTCAGTGGGGCTGGCGAGGGAGTCGACCGGCACACTGCGGCTGCGCAGCCTTCCCGTTTCGCCCACGGCAAGCCAGTAGGACTTCCGCAGCTTCGCCACCTCCCGCTGCGTGACGGGGTGGCGGTCGCGTATCAAGTCCTGCAGGTGCTCGCAGGCGTGCAGGATCAGATCGAGGAGTTCGTGCATCTCCGCAGTGGTCGTTGGCTCCACAACGTAGGCCGCCGCCGGTGCGAGTGGCGTCGGGCCGCCGTCTTGCCGACCGGCAGCCATTGCGGCGTCTTTGCCACCTCGCATCTCTCACCCTCCTTTTTTTTTTCACCCTTTCCTCCGCACTACCCTTTGTTCCTTCCTTCCTTCCTCCCCCCTTTTGCTTAAATTGTGGTTCCCACTCACATCAAAGTAATTGGTATCAAGGAAGACAGAAGCGGAGCGTGGTGTGCTCTGCAGGCACAGGGAGTAGGGCGATGTGCAGTGAGGTGCTCTTCTGGCCATTGTGTGTGTGTGCGTGTGCGTGTGTTGGAGGTGCCGACGGCGGCGCCTCGCTCCTTCGGGCAGCGGGGGTTGGGACCATCGTCGGCACGGGAGATGAGGGGCCCAACCGACACCACATCCGGTACGGCTTCCGCAAGCGTGTGTCTGTGTGTGCAGGCCCTCCACTGGGCTGTCATTTCTTCTTCTCCTCTTGCTTTTTTTCCCCCGTTTTGTGCCTTCTTCGCCGTCTTCGCCTTCGCAGGAGACGGTAGTTGCGGTGGTGGCAACGGAGTTACCAGAACTTCCACCACGACTTTTTGTTTTCTTTGCCGAGATGCTTCTCCATGCAAGTCATGTACGCCAGCAGCTCCGTCTGGCAGTGCAACAGTGCCCGCTTGGCGCTTGTGGTGTCGGTGGGGTTTTCCATCACGGCCTTTTTCTCAAAGCAGGCGAAGAACAGCTCCGTCGGCGCGGAGCACTCCTTCACGCTGGTGGGAAAGTAGGGCGGCAGCCGAGTCACGGGCGCATCCGTGTTGCTAGCAACGGCCATCATTTCAGTCAACCGGGTGGGAGCTGCCCGCCTTCTGCTGCGGTTTTTCAAAGAAGTGCTGGCGGCGGTGTCAATGTTCCTCCTCTTTTTTTTGGGGGGGGGGGGGTTGCGCGTTATGCTTCTTTTACTTGTCTTCCTTTTGTTGTTTACTACTCTCGTCACGGTGTAGGGCGCGTGTACGTGTGTACGCCCTCGCGCAGACTCATTATGCGGGGAGGCGGAAGAGGCGCATGTGCACACACCCGTCGGCAGAGAACAGCAAAGCCGCGTCTCATGCGTGCGTGAGGGCAGCCACAGACAAGGCCGCAAGAATAATGAGCGCAAGCGCTATAGAATAGATAGATATGCATGTGTGTATAAACACCTGCATCTTCCACCAATGGGCACAATAGCATCAGCCCCGGTAGAAGCAACAAAACACAATATCGTTCTCCCTCCCCCCTCGCTTGCCCGTGCAACTCAACCCTCTTGTGCCGGCTTTCATTGCTGGTAGATGAGGGCATAGGCATGCGCGCGGCGCAGCTTGCATCACGCGGCCCGTCCACCAAACGCCGCCGTGCCGTCCGGCTTGATCATCACCTTCACCTTGTCGTTGACCTGCACTGATTCATTGACGCTGACGAGGCCGTCGCACTCCTTGAAGGAGGCCATCTTGTACATCCCCTTCAGCGAGATCTTCTCGACGGTGTAGGTGTAGCTGGAGGGCATCACCACCTCCGCCCAGATGTGCCCCGCGTCGGGCGCGTCGTCCTCGTCGGGGGCGATGTGGAGGACGTCAACGGGCATGCCGCAGGCGAGGAACTTCTGCTGCACGTCGGGGAGGGAGTCGCCGGGGATGTTCACCTCCTTCCCCGCGTCCGCGGTGTGCTCGGGGTAGACGAAGCAGGCCTTGTCGTCATCGTCGAAGCCGCTGAAGAGGAGCCGCACCCGCTCCGCCCGCACCTGCGCAAAGTCGTGCCCCTGCCCCGCCGTCACCTCCTTCTTGCGCCCCGTGCCCACCTCGACCAGCTTGATGTTGAACGAGGCGGCGTTCTGCCCCTTCTGCGAGCGCGTGTTGGCCACCACGCGGTAGAAGCGCCTGTCGATCAGGAAGATCATGCCGGCGCGGGCCTTGTCCGCGAAGACCCCGCGCCGCGCACAAACGAGCGACGCGGAGGAGGACAAAAGGGGGCGGTGGCCACCGCCGCCGCCAGCAACACCCACGCAGACGGGTGCCAAGTGCCGCCGCAACATGTGTCACCCGACGCACACACACACAGACACACAAAAAAAAAAGAAACAGAAGGAACTCGTTCCTAACGAATACCTCCTTCCTCGCCCTCCTCCCTTTTAAATATATATATATATGTATATGTATATATATAGTTTCCCTTTGTATTGGGTTATGCAACCAAAGCAAGAAGGAAGAAGCTGGTATCCCCTTTCGCCTCCCAGCGTATACCTGTGCGCCTGCCTCACTGTGGGAGAGAGTCCTCTGCAGGCGGGCATACACGCATGTAGAACAAGGCGGGAGCGGAGGAGACGAGTGCAGCGGGCAGCCACAACAGTGCCAGCTCTGCAAAAGCAGCCATGGCTGTCCACATCCTGGGAAGAGAAGAGGCCACTGATGCGTGAGAACGATCTGTGGGGAAATATATATATATATATATATATATGTTGTTGTTGATGTTTTTGGAAGTGCGGTATTCGCGTGGATCACCTCCCCCTTCTCTCTCTCTTTCACCTCCCTCTCACTCTTATCACCAGCAGCCTGATGAGCCCACATTTATTCAACATGGTTCATACTTTACATCCAACCCAAAATCGACGTACACTTGCCCTTCCTCTCGCACTGTTCTTCTTCATCCGCCGCCTTGTGTGTCGTGGCTTCGCCGCCGCCTCTTCCTCTGCCTCATTTCTGCAACTCCTCAAATACAGGCAGCGGGGCCTCATGGGTGACGCGCTTCCGCAGCAGTCTCCGCATTGGACGTGGCCCCTTCCCGGCGTAGTCGCACACGTACCCCGCAAAGTCCAGGAAGATGCCGTGAACCTCGAAGACCTTCTTGAAGCGTGTTCTGCTGAGAAAGTACTGCTCCGCCAGGAGGGCAAACTTGCGGGGCATCGACTCCCACACCGCGTGCTTGATGACGCCCTCCACCGGGTCCATCAGCTGCGCCGGGCTCGTGCAGACCTGCCAGTTGACGATGCCCTCCTCCACGGCCAACTTGGCCTCTGAAAAGCGCTTCACCTCAAAGTAGTGATCGACGTACTGCGCCTGGAGCAGCGTCTGAGGCTGCAGCCGCAGCCGCTGGTTTAGGCTGACGTGCAGGTAGGCGTGCTCGGCGATGAAGCGGGCACGGTAGGTGAGCTTTTCGGCCTCGCTGCGCAGCTTCTTCACCATCATCGCCGCCACGGCGCGGTCCTCCTCGGGAATCAAGGGATCCTTCACGGAACCGTGCAGGCAGCCTTGCATGTCCAGCACAACATGCGTAAGCCCGTTCCGGTCCTCGTACACCTTGACCTCGGTCACGCGAAAGGAGGAGAAGAGCGGCAGCAGCCACTCCCTGTCATACGGGTACATGGAGAGGTCAGACACATCCAGCCCATCCACGGCGTGGTGAATCTCGAACAACACCGCATTATCTGGCACCGGGAAGGCCTCCTCATCAGTCCAGTCCACATCAGGGCGTGCCAAGGCGAGGAATGGGAACATGTACCACTCATTCTCAGGCATTTCCCGAAGGTAGCGAAGCTCATCCTGTGGAACCTCCTTGATGCCGTAGTACAGCACCGGCAACGGTGGCGCATCCGCATGCTGCTCTTGGCTTGCAGCGTGCGTGCCGACGATAAGCAGCAAGGTTGCAAGGGTGTTGGACCACTTTTTTAGCCCCTCTGTGTCACCCGTGCGAAAGCTACTATATATTTCGTGCGCCAGCGACAGCGCGGGCGGTTCGCTGGTCAAGAAAGTGCGGGCAACGTCGATAGGCTCCATGGTGAAGAGGCGAAGCGCCAACAGCACCGTCCCAGGGAGAGCTGGATACAGGGATGCGTAGAGCATACTCACCACGTCCTGAAAGAGAATAACGGCCCCAACCTTCACGCCCAGGTTCTTCGCAATCTCACGGTAGAGAGCCAGCGGCTGTTGGCGCCGCTTGACAGAGGCGATGGCCCCCTCCACAATCGTCTTTAGCAACGATCCAAAGTCCTCGTATTCGCGAAAGACGGAGACGGCGATGTGCCACTGCAGCGCAATAGGGTAGGGGCAGCGGTCATGGGCGGATTCCCAGATGTTGTCCACCTCCTCCAAGGAGAGTTCCTCGGCCACGTGTGCGTCCGCCTCTTCTAGTCCCCCCGCCTGATCCAGGCCAGCCATAAGTGTCTTGTACTCCTTGATCTCCTCCGCCACAGGCCGCTTCTTCACCTCGGTGGTGGAAGCAAACACCTGCTTCAGTATCTTCCCACCATCGGCGTGCTTCACCTGGCCACTGATCTTAATCTTGGAGGAGTTCTGTGCCAGTTTGTCTGGGGAGATCAGCCCTAGCGAGCGTGGAATGACGATCAGCACGAGCTGCTGCGTTTCCACACGACGAACACAGCGGAGCAGCAGCTGCTGCTTCCCATGACCCTTGCCCTTCTTCTCCCCCTCACCCGTCCAGTAGGCGCGGAAGTGCCGGGGCGACGCCACCATGGTCTGCATCAGTGAGCTCTCCGTTGTGAAGAGTGAGGCTTTGCCGCGGAATCCGGGCAGCTGCAGCTGCAGCGTGTCCCCCTCGACAAGCGGGACGCTGCAGCGAAACTGAATGTTGAGGCTCACCTCCACGCGGGGGATGGCGGGGGTGATCACCAGCGTCGTGTCCAGCAGCTCCGCGGAGGTCACCTCCGCCGGCTCAATGGCGGCCGCAGCCCCTCGCACGCTGGTCGAGGGCGACACCGTCGCAAAGACGTCAACGGGCCCCTTCTTTTTGCCCTTCGCCATGCCCACACGCGTTTCTAAATAAACACCCTCCCGTGCTCCTTCGCCGCCGCACCCGACAACAATAAGCGTGTAAGGTAGCAAATGTGCCCTTCCAAGTTTTTTTTCTTTTATATGCTTTGCTTTTTCTTCTTCGTTACTTCCCCCTTTTGTTTTTCGGTTCTCTCTCTATGTGCCGGTGGCCTCCGCGCCCTTCGGCTCCTCCCACACCCTTTTGCCCCCGCCCTCCTTCTGTCTGTGGCGGCTGCCGTGCATGCGGCGGCAGCGGTGGTGGCCAAAGGGGTGGAGAGAAAGAAAGAGAAGAAAAGGAAGACACAGCGCGAGAGAATGAGTGTGTGCGTGTGTGCACGCGAACATAAGCGGGAGCGAAGGCGAGTGGTGTTTTCTGCTGGGAAAGAGGGGGACACTGGAGGCGTTTGTGTGCCCGTTTTTTTCTCTGCGCGGCAGCAACAGCAAACGCGAGGAGCATCCATCACTGGCGGCTCTGAACACGCAAACTCACACGTCCAAGGCCGCTCCCACCCTCTATCTACCCATCTCTCGCTCTTTCTCTCACCCCCTCTCTTCTTCCCCCTTTACCGCGGCCATGTTTGGGTTTTATCCCGCCTCTTCTCGGTAAGTGACGGACGCGTTCACGCGGTGGAAGTTCGTGGCGAAGGTGCGCAGCCTGACCTCGCTGCCGCCCGGCACCAGCCGCGGCCCGCTAATCTCCCACGCGTTGGACGGCAGCTCCACGTCCGTCTCGGTGTACAGCAGGAGGTCGAAGACGCAGCCCTCCGGCAGCGCCGGCAGGTACGAGACAGAGGCGGTGATTTGCCGCATCACAGCCCGGATCTCGTGCTGGAGCTCCGCCTCCGTCTTTGCCGGCGCAGTCGTGCCGCCGGCGGGCTCCGCCAGGACGTCGAAGGCCCACCGCTCCATCACCGCGTTGTGGGCGCCGTCCACCACGATCAGCACCAGCTTGCGCACCTTGTCGGCCGCCACCCACGCCGCCACCTGCTGCAGCAGCTCCGTGAGGTAGGCGTTCAGGTCGCCGTCCGTCGAGACCATCAGCGGGACGTCGTAGCGCCTGACCTGCTGGAAGTCTTCCTGCGGGTACACCCCCCGCTGGTACAGGATGCCGTAGATGGCAAAGCCAAGGAACTCCGTGACCGTCGCCACGCTCCCTTTGAACGTAATTGTCTGAACGGTCCCCGTCATTTGCGGCCGTCCCACACTGCCGCTGTGTCGGTCTATCTATATCTCTCTCCTTCTCTCGCTCACGCGCGCCCCCAGGTCTGTCTGCGTGTGTGTGTGTGTGCGGGGAGCTGCCGGGCAAGCGGGCTGCCTGCCGAAAGAAGCTGGAAATGGAGAAGGCGGCGGCGGCACTGGCAGACAAGAACAAAGAAACCAACAACAACAACAGCTGCAGCAGCAGCAAAAGAAAGTCGATCTCCCACTCCCACACACATTACACACTACACACCAAAGGCAACAGCGGCACAAGCCAACGGCAAAGTTACAATCAACCGGTGGATGAAGTGCGCTCGGTACGTATTAGCCGCACACGTTACCGCACAGAAGCGGCACTTACGCGCCGTTAGCAAATATAACTGTGTGTGATAAAAAACGAGGGGACGCGCACACGCACAAAGGCAGACACCCCCCCCCCCCACACGCTTGCACCCTCTTCAGTCAAGACGATTCTTCGCATGCTTAAGAGCGTTGCGAACATACGTCCACTCCATCACGCATCGACAAAAGCGCTGGACGTCTTCTTGCCTCCAACTTGCCTTTGCCTGGTCGTAAAATTCCTCATACCGCTCCTCCAGGTGAGCCACGAGCAGCTGCAGCGTTGCTTTTCCCTCCGCCTGTGACACGTCAGAGGAGAAAATCGCCTCATTTACCGCCATCATTTCCTCAAGAAACTCCGGCGACAGAGACGCGGCGCCTCCGCCTGCACCGTCCATGAGCTTTCGTCTCTCCTCCACGCTACGGCGATCGTCAGTGTCCATGAGGACCTCCTCCTCGGCCGGCGTCAGCGGGGCGCCCTTCGCCTCCCTCGCGCGTCTCAGGCGCAGCAGGTACTGGCACCGGAGGAAGGGATCCCGCAGGGTTTCGTAGGAGACGTTGGCGTACTTCGATTCCTCGGCGTCCGCCACGCCGCCCGCCGCCACCGTTCTCTCCCTTTTCACAGCCTGCACGGGCGCCGCCGCAGACTGCCGCTGCTGCTGCTGCTGCTGAACCTCTTTGGCCTGCACGTTGGTTTGGTCCGGGTGGACGCGACGCTGCAGGTTGTGGTATGCACGCTGCACCTCCCCCGCGTCTAGCTCCGGGCTCTGCTGCAGGCCCAGGTAGGCGAAGAAGTTGCCGCGGCCGCCCCGCACGAGACGCGTCGTGTGCAGCAGGCGAAACGCCGTCGCCGTCGCCGTCCTCGTCCTCGGCGCCGCCAGCGAGAGGCCGGAGGAAGCAAGACGAAGCATCACCCACCACACGTTCCTTCCGCCTCGCTTAGAAGTATATATATATATATATTTATGTATTTGTATCCCGCTGTTGTTGTTGTTGTCGTGTTGTTGCTTTTCCCTCTCCCCGCCTCCTCGCAATTTGTGCTGCAGTGCCTCTCTCTTTCTCGTCGCCGCCGTCCCCCACTCCCACGCAGGCAATAAAACGACCTCCACCAGCAGCGCAAGAAAAAAAAAAAAGGAAACCGACGGGAAGGAGGCTGGGCGGCAGCGTCAAGGTCGCAGTTGCAAAGGGGGCGATGGTGGCCGTCAGGCGTGGCGTGCCACTCCGCCGCCGCCGCCGCCGCGGTAGCAGCAGCAGAAGCCAACAAGCGCGCAGACACACATAAAACGGGTGGAAAGAATACATGATTGTGCACTGCAGCGGGGCAACGCAAGTGAAGGAAAAGGCTGCAGCGGCCGCCACGCTCCCACAGAGACGCGGAGAGAAGGAAAGATAGAAAGACATAATAAGCAGGGCGGCGTTAGCTACGCAAAAGGAGGCGACGGCGCTCGTGAGGAGGGAGCGGCTCGGGCTCTAAAGAATGATCCCACTTCCTGCACTTCCTGCACCGCAATACTTTCCAGCGGCACCAGGCGAACCATGGCCGCCTCTCTCGTCAGACCTGCTACTCCCAGCGCCTTCATCAGCCGCTCATGATGTATGGAGGCAATCTGCGCCTTTGCAAACCACTCCCTTGCGGCCTCTTCAGAGGCCCCATCGACCCCCTTCGACGCCGTCTCGGTGCACTTCCTCTGAAAGAAGGCAAGCCGGTTCTCCACAAACGGAAGGTACCGCACGATGTCCAGCAGGAGGGAGCCCAGGTTGAGGCTGAGCATCTTCGTCGCCGCGGAGGAAAGCGACGTCGTTGTGGCCTCGCGTGCCTCGGCGGGGCTTGAGACGGACCTCGACGTCCCACGACGCTCCCCCTTGACGCGCAGCCTCACAACTGAGCGCCGCGCGCGCCGGGGGCTGAGGGATGGGCGCTTCTCCTCCCCCTTCGCGTGTCCGTCGGGGAACTGCGCCTGGGTTTTGCTCAGGTACTCCTCGGTGAAGGCCCCCGAGAGCATTTCAAGGTCGAGGCCCCAGATGCCACTGTCTCCGTCGAGCATGTTCATCACGCGCACAAACGTGGTGCGCTCCGGCGGCCCAACCTCCACGTTTGTCGCCGTCAACACCGTCGGCAACCGCTGCCGCAGCGCGGCCGTCGCGGTGACAAGAAGTGAGGCCGTGCCGCTTAAGGCGCGTGCATTGTCAGCCTGCCTGGATTTTTCTCTTTTCGTCTGCTTCTTCGAGCGCTGCGGCTCCTGCAACGAGGGCACGTCGGCGTTGTTCGTCATAAACTGTCCCTCCAACGCACTCAACTCGGTTGGTAAAAATAATGACATGGCCATCAGGTAAAGGTACTCAAGCTGCTCCACGGCGTTCATGCTCGTTGTTTGGCCGCTAAGTAGCATGTGTTCCCACGGCTCTGGCACGAAGGCATCCTTATCCCGCTGCACGCCACACAGTAACGTCGTCTGTCCAAGCTTCCCCCCTCCCTCTCTCTCGGATTGCTGCAGCAACTCGGTCACCTGACTCAGCGCGTTTTCCATGCGCCCCAGCCGACGCGGTTCCGGCAGGCACAGGTGGTTTTGCCCAATCCGCCGCTCTACAACGCGTGAGCGGCCCAGCAGGGCGTCGTACATGACACTGTGGTCACTTTGCCCGACAGTTTCCGGCGGGAGCTGCGGCAGTTGAACACTGTCAACGTCTAACGTGACGCTTGCGGGGGCAGGCGCCGCCTTTTCCGTTTGCTCGGCCGCCTGTGGACGCAACAAGTGCGACCGACTGCGGAAGGATTCGCGATGCTGCACGACGGGCGCCGCCTCCGTCGAACTCGACTTCTGCAAGAACTCCATTGCCTTGACAAGTGACTCCCACTTCTCCGCGGACAACGGCATGCCCTGACGGGAGAGGGCCCACGTCGCGTGAAATGCCCGATACTTCTCCTGCAACTCTCGCTGCGCCGTGGCACGGGCCTGCGCCTCCTGCTGCGTGTGCTGCGCCCTCGCCACCTCGTCGCGCCGCACCCGCTCCTCAAGGAGGCGCTCGCAGGCGGAGGGCTGAAACGGCCCCCGCCGAGGCGCGCCGCCCGCGGCGGTGTCGCCGGCTGGCACGTACGTGCGAAGAAACGCCACCGTATGTTTCCCCTGCTCCGCCTTCTGCCGTGCCCCCCCGCCGCCGCCGCCGCCAACGCAGCTATCACCGCCGCTGGTCTCATTCGCCACCGCCGGCGACGGCGACAATGTTGGACGTATTGGCGGGAAGCTGACGCTCCGCGCGCCCCCCCGCGCGAGTTCCGCCGCCTCCCCGCCGCCCTCCTCGTATCGCTCCCCCGCGGGGGGCTGCGCGGTCGGCGTCGCCAGCCGCGCCCGCGCCAACGGCTCCAGCGCCGCCGCCGCGTTACTCGCGTCGCTGCGTGCCCAAGACGTCTGAGCAGTCGCGACAGTGGCTCGTGCCGCGAAGTACGCCGCGGCCTCCTTGCGCTCCTCGTCTCGCACCACGCGGCGGTCCAGCACCTCGAGGTGGGGGTGCTCGTGAATCAGAAAGAGTCGATACCCCACCTCGTCGCAGAGCGGGTTCCCGCGCAGGTCGAGCTCGCGAAGGCACCGGAGCAGCTTCAGTTGGGCAGAGACGGCGCTGAGGTTGCTGAGACGATTGTGTGCGAGAAACAACACCTCGAGGTGCCGCAGCTGGCCGACGTCCCCGTCGAGCGTCTGCAGGCAGTTGTGAGAGGCGTAGAGGCGTCGCAGGAGACGACAGCCGCGGGCGGCGCCGTGCGCAGCCTCAGCCACGGTCCCCTCCTCCTGGGCCTTCGAGGAGGAAGCGGCGGCGCGGGGGTTTCGCGGGGGAATCAGAAAGGCTATCTGCCGCAGCCGGTTGTGGCGTATGATAAGTGTGTCGAGGTTCTTTAGTAACTGTACATTGCTGTGCAGCCGCGTGATGCCTTTGCGGCACAGCGTAAGCTCCTTCACCGTGTGAAAACGTGCACGTGGAATCTTCAGTGCCCGAATAGGGTCCAGGCACACCTCTTGCTCCTCCGTCGGGTCCGTGTACGGCGGGAAAGCATCCAATTCGCTGTTGTTATGCGGTGTGAACTCTGCCGTTGCTTGCGCCTCCTCTTCAGTCGTCGTTGTCGCCGCCGCCGCTGTTGTTGTTGTTGCTGCTGTTGTGCGGCTCTGAGACACGGTGCGGCGGCGTCTGGCGGTGTCGCCGGCTTTGCCCTCCGGGGCACCCCGCATGACCCCCTGCAGCGACTTCGCATACCACTTGCGCAGGAGATCGGGGTACTGCCGGTTCAGTGACGTGTACATCGTCCGCCGCCCGCCCCGACCGTGTGTGTCCGCTTCCTTCACACACACACACACACACACTCCCGGTCACCAACGCCAGGGAGGGGGGAAAAGAGGGAGAGAAGGGGAAGATGCCCACCCCGCGGCAGCACGGGCAGTCAAGCAGTTTTCACTCAAGCAACAATGGCGGCAATAAACAAACGCGCACGCGGTGGAGACCCCCCACCGCACCTCCTCCCCCTCCCCCTTGACCCCAATCAGCAACTCCTCCCCATCCCTGCCTTTGGGTGGGTGGGGGACGCCCTCGTCAGTTGACTGCGGCCGCCGCACGCGGCACACACGTCACAGCCGGCAGGTTGCGCCCTCGCCACGACTTGGCGCTCACCTTCGCCTCCTCCACCGTGTCGACGCCCGCCACGCAGACCACGTCGCTCCCACGAAACATCATCACCCCCATCGCCAACTCCTGCATCGCGCCGCCGCCGCCGCCGCCGTCGCTGCGCGGGGGCTGCTCGTGTTGCGGTGACTCACCCGCGTTCTCCTCCGCCTCGTCAAAGACGCGCTCCACGCAGGACGTGAGCACAAGGTTGAGCAGCTGGTCGGCGGCATGCAGCACACCGACAAAGTAGCGGCCATCCGTCGTAATGACCGAAACCCGCCGCCGCAGGTAATGCGTCAACATGTGCTGAAAAGGGCGGGAGGAAAACAAACAAACAAACAAACAAACAGCTACAGGCGGTGAGGGGAAAGAGGCGAGGAAAGGAGGAGGGGATCTACGCATGCGCAGCTGCAGACAAGCATGCATGCGTGAGGGCACGTGATAAACTCATTCAGGGGAAAAACAAGAAAAAGCGAGAAACTTAGAATTTCTCAACATTGTCGCATTACACACGTAGAAGGGAAAAACATTAAAAAAAAAAGCAAACAAACAAACCAAGCCGCATACAAGCACACATCGCCCCACAGAAGAGACCGCGCAATAAAAGAGAATCGAAGTACCAGAAAAGGAAAAGCAAAAAAAAAAAAGTGGGCGGAATGGCAAGGGCCTTCTGGGTGCCTCCGTGGGATCGGAAAACGAGTGCCTGGGCGGGAGGTGGTGAGAGAGGCAAGAACCGGGGTGGAGGGTCGCGGCAACTTGTTATTCGGTGCTGCAGGAGGACGCGTGAGGCCGCAGTGTTTCCGCCCCTACTCCTCCTCCTCCTCCCATCCCGCCCTTCTTGCCGGTTTGCCCATCACACACCCTCCCCAAAGTCCCTGCGGTTCATACTCCCGCTGTGTGCATCCCGCACCCAAAACAACAACAACAACAACAACAAAAACCCTCGCTCACTCGCCCGCTCCTTCTTTTCTTTCGCCTCCTTGTGGTGTTTGTCTGGCTTTTTTCTTATCGGCCTTTTTTTCTTCTTCTTTTCTCTTTACATTCCCCGGTCTTTTTTTCTTCTTGTTCTTCGCCCAATTTCATTATCGTGTTACCTTCCTTACTTCGCTCCTTCTGGGATGGCCCTCTCCACCTCCTGCTACCGCACCGCACAACAAAAAACAAAAAACAAACAAACAAAGGGGAAAAAAAACAGTCGGTGCCTAAACTTCAGAATAATGCTACCCAATGGCTTTCGTTGCAGGCTGGTTAACTTATCGTGGGTACGTGTGTGTGTGTGTGTGTTCCTTTTTTTTTTCAGTTATTTCCCTTCTTCTCTGGCGTCCCCACCGGCAACACGAGACCGCCTGCTGCCGCAGACCCCTCGCCCTCCCCGCGGAGACGTGCATGGGGCGGGTGCATGGGTGGCTGCGCGTGTGCGTGTGCGTGGGAGGCCATCGGCGTGCGTTGGTGGCGCGCCTCCGCAGCGGCCGCACGGGGCCTCCACAGAGACACACACACACACACACACACACACTCTACTGCCCCGGCAGCGTTCTCGTGCTCGCTCCCTCAACCCCCCACTCCCCCGCTCCCGTGACTGCAAGGCCGCAACGTCACATTGCTTGCCTTCGCACCCGTCTCTGCTGTGGTGAAACGTTTTCCTTCCCCGCATTTTCACATACAGTTTTGTTACTTTGCGTTTCACCACCCTCTCCGCTTTGCTTTTTCTTCGTGCTTTTAAGTTACTTTACTTTCCTTATTCGCGGACAGGTGCCCCCCCCCCACTCCCCACTACCCAACTTCTCTCCACCCCCGCACTTAGCTGAGGATGCGGCGGGCTACGGCGAGGACGTCGGAGACCTGCGGCTGCGAGGCCGCCTCCAGCTCCTTCGCGTACGGCGTGGGGCAGTCGGCGCAGGACACGCGCTCCATGGGGGCGTCGAGGTAGTCGAAGGCCTCGCTCTCCATGACGATGGCGCAGATCTCCGCGCCGATGTTGCACACGGGGAACGACTCGTCCACCGTCATGGCGCGGCCCGTCTTCTTCACGGACTGGATGATCGTCGCCCGGTCGAGGGGGCGGAGGGAGCGCAGGTTGATCACCTCCGCCTCGACGCCCTCCTTGGCGAGTTGGTCCGCCGCCTTGAGGCAGAGCTCCACGCCGCGCGAGAAGCCGATCATCGTGATGTGCTTGCCGGCCCGCTCAATCTTCGCCTTGCCCCAGGGAATGAGGAAGTCCTTCCCCATGGCCTCCTCCGACAACTCAAAGGACTCGCCGTAGAGAAGTTCGTGCTCGAGCATCACGACAGGGTTGTCGTCGCGGATAGCCGTCTTCAGCATCCCACGCGCGTCCTCCGCGCTGTACGGCGCGAACACCTTCAGCCCAGGCACCGAGGCGTACCACGGCCCAAAGCACTGGCTGTGCTGCGCGCCGACGCCGGCGGAGGCGCCGTTGGGGCCGCGGAACACCACCGGGCACCTCAGCTGACCACCGGACATGTAGTGCCCCTTCGCCGCAGAGTTGACGATCTGGTCAATCGCCTGCATCGCAAAGTTCATTGTCATGAACTCGCACACGGGGCGCAGACCACTCATCGCGGCGCCGACGGCCATGCCGGTGAAGCCGTGCTCCGTGATGGGCGTGTCCACCACGCGCGAGGTGCCGTACTTGTCCAGGAGGCCCTTGGTCACCTTGTAGGCGCCGAGGTACTGGCCTACCTCCTCGCCGAGGAGGAACACCTTCTCGTCGCGCTCCATCTCCTCGTCGAGGGCCTTGTTGAGTGCGTCACGGATCGTCAACGTGGTCGTCACCGACCGGGCCGCGACGGCAGCGGAGAGAAACGCAGAGGCGGCAAAGCGACGCATGACTCGAGCCTCCCCTCCGTTAAAGAAAAAAAAAGAAGAAGTAGTTAAAAAGCTCCTCTTATTATATATTATATATATTTTGCTTTTGTCGAAGGCTTTTGGAAATGTGTACGAGCGCTGAGACGCCTGCACGTGCGAGGTGAAGCTCTTGGCTGGCGGGCGCGTGCGGAGGAGGGAGAAGAGAAAAAAGGAGAGAGAAAACAGAAAACAGAAAAAAAAAAAACAAGAGAACGAGCCCAAATAACCCGCGGGGTGTCGAGGGGGGGGGGACAAAAGCAAGGCGGAAAAGTGAAAATAAACACCCCGGCCCTCCCCCTCCAGCAGCGGCAAGAGCCAAAAAGACAAATAAATAAATAAATATATATGAAGAAAAAAAAAAGGTGAAAGGCGCCTTTTACCGGCCCTCCTCCCCCGCATCTTCAGCCTCGTGTGTGCCGCCGGGGCCGTCCCCGTCCGCACGCCCCGCCGCATCGCACACGCCCGGTGGCGAGAGAGGGGGGAGGAGGATTTGCCGACGAGCGAGCCGTGCAGTGATCGGGCGGGAGGCGTCGCCGTCTGCAGCTCCCAGACGCAAGACAACACAAGAGGGGCACCGCACCAACTACAACACACAGAGACAACGCAAATGCAACGCCAGCCGCGCCTCATGCTTTTTTTTCTCTTTATACTTTTTTCCCCCTTCTTTTTCATCTTTTCTAAGGCGGCGGGCGCGGGCAGCCGTTGCGACCCATGCACCCAGGTACTTGCACCTCTCCCTTCCGCCCTTTCATTCCTTCTCGTGCACACTCCTCTCCCCCCCCTCTCTCTCACACACACAGCCACGAAGCGAGGGCGAGGGGCGTGGAGCGCAGGAAGTAAAGCAGCGACACACCCCTCATTCTGCCTGACCGCGCGAAGCATTCTTGCTGCGTCCGCGACGGTGGTAGTGGGAGTGTTCACGGGAGCGATGCCGCTTTCGCTTGCGCGCCTCCACGGGCGCCGCCCATCCCTTCCTGCGGGCGTCCCCACCACTACTACTACCGCCGCCACCGCCACCGCCACCGCCACCGCCACCGCCACCGCCTGCTCCTGCTCCTGCGTCTCCCACCGCAGCTGCCGCGCTCCTCTGCATCCCTGACGTGCATGAAAACGACGCCGGTGGTTGCTGTTGTGGTTGTGGTTGTGGTTGCGGCTGCGGTGGCGGCAGGGCGCTGGTAAAGAGGTGGTCCACCTCCGCCGCTGGTCGTAACATCCTCTCCAGCAGCGGACACTCCACTGCGGCGAGCAGCTGCACGGGGTGGGTGCCTTCCGCGGTGACAGCCGTTTTCCCCACCTCCTGCAGCCGCTTCGCCAGGGCCGCACGGAAGGCCTCCCCATAGCGGCCCACAAGGCCCATGATACGCCGCAAGTGCAGCGTGAGTGTGTACGCCTTCCAGTCCCCCAGTGGCGTGGCCTGCTCCAGAAACCGCGTCACAGCACGTGTGGTGTCGGCAATGAGAATGCGCAGCAGCATCCCCGCATCCTTCTCCGAGGCCGGGAGGGCGCGAGGGAGCCACTCGCCCCCACTATTCTCACTCTCCTCCGCCTCGGTAGGCGAGGCTCCCACTTGTCGCTGCTGCTGCCTCGCACGCGTGTGCTGGCGCTGATGAAAGAAGCTCAGCTTGTACGGCAGCACAATTTCCCCGGCAACAGTCCCCAAAAAGGCCGAGAGGGAGGCACACTCCAGCTTGGTGGCATGCGTCAGCTTGGTGTTTGCCTGCAGCACCACACGACGCACAACCTCCAAAAGAGCCTGCGGCTCAAACAGCCCCGATACCGTCATGAGCCACTTTTTTAGGGCCACGCCAGCCGCCACCCCATCCACGACGGAAATACGGGCCCGCTGCATGAGTGACACAACCAGCGCCTCAACGTACGACTTCACCGCCGCAAAGGAGAGTGGCCGCGCTTCACGCCGTCTTTGCTCTGCATCGTCTGGCGTCTGCACCGCATCCTCCTCACACTTGTTGCCATCGGGCTGCTCGGCCCGCGCCTCCGTCGGCGTGCCATTCCCCGCTTCCCCCGACTCTGCCCTGCCGTCAGCCTCCACCACGACCGTCGCCTCCGGGGCTGGCGAATCCTGCGACTTTGCCCGCGACGACACCGCCGCCCCCTCCCCATCCCGCTGCCGACGCAGCAGATCCACGTCCTGCAGAATCGCCGCCTCCATCCCGGCCTGAGCTTTGGCCTGTGAGCCGGACTCCCTCTGTTTCGCGGCGTGCTGCTCCAGAGTGGCCCGTCGCTCAAGCAGCGTCCTCGTCGGGATAAATTTCATGTAGTTGCGGTTGCAGACGCGCAGGAGCGCCATCGCCGCGGCCCCGGCACGGGAGTCAACGTCTTCAAACTCCGCGTTGCAGAACCAGTCATGCCAGGCATGCGGCGGCCCCGTCGCCTCTGCCTCTGCCTCTGACTCCGCCGCCCCGTCCCCCCCAAGCGTGCACCCCCCACGAAGGAGTAATGCCATGGGCAGTGGCGCCTGCGTCGTCGCTTCAGGCCTCCCCGCGGGGCTCGTTGGCGGGGCAGGACGCCGGGCGCAGAGCCGCTGCGCAATGGCCCGCTGAATCGCGTGCCGCCTGGCGGGGTCCCAGTAAGTCACGCTGCTGCACAGCCGCAGGACACCAAAAAAGAGGGACGACATCGCGTCCGCCGCCGCGGGGTCCGCCACGGCGCGGCGGTCGGCGTCACCCCGCACCCGCGCCGCCACCAACGCGCCGATGTGGACCATCATGTCGACAAAGAGCTCCCGCACCACCGCGTGGTCCTCCCCCTCCTCCTGCGCCGCTCTCGCCGCGGAAGACCGCCGCGAGGACGCCTCTGCCGTCTGTGACATGAGAAGTTCGTGAAAAAAGTGCAGTGCGTCGTTCTTGGCGTTCAGCGCAAGCCGCAGCGGCTGGCGGCAGTAGTAGCCGCGCGGCAGCTCCTGAAAGTACGCCACCTCCGCCGAGAGCGGGTAGCGCAAGGCGCAGCTCACGTGTTCGTGGTCGCTGCAGGTGCTGTAGTCGACCCCGATGGCCCGCAGCGGGGGAAGGAAAAAGGCGGCAAGGCCGTGCCGCCCCCGCCGCACAATCTGCTCGTGCAAGTACGTCATCATGCGCTTGCCGGGCGCAAAGAAGCGACGCGCGGCGCAGCGTACATGACGCAGCGTGTGAACCTCAAAGAGCGGCGCGTCGTGACAGACAAACGCCAAAAACATAAGCCACTCACTCGCCGCGGCACCCTTGAACTGGGCAAGGCTCGTGAAGACTTCATCCAGCGCGGCCGCAGTGAAGCGTTCCAGCACGCGTGCAACGGCATCGGCATCGGCGGAGGCCGCCGCCACGTCGTGGCTCGTCAGATCCGCGCAAAGGCTCGCCAACGCCTGCTCGATGGCGCAAAACACAGAGAAGTACTTGGGGAAAAACGTCCGCGCCACGGCGTTCTCCTTCAACGCCTCCTCCACAAACGCCGTGGCGCGCGCCTCGCTGGAGCTCCCCTTGTCGGTAATCACCGACTCGCAGTCGCAGAGCGCCGCCACGTGGTTGCTGGGGCACAGGAACGTTAACAGGTGCCGCAGCGTTGCGATGGGGCGCTGCACCAGCAACACCCGCAGCACCCGGGTGCTGAGGCTGCTGGGGCGGCCGGTCTCGTCCAGCGCACAAGACAAGACGTGACTCATCTTCGTGTTGCACGCCTCCACAAGCGACCATTTACCACCGGCCGCCGCAGCCGCAGCCGCCTCCGCGCTCTTTTCGTAGGAGGCCAAGAAGGACTTGAGTGCCTTGTGCTGCCGCACCTCGACGTCCTCGCTGCCGGCGACCGCCTTCGCCTCCGGGTCGCCGGTGAGCCGCGGCGTGTCGTTACGCGGCGCATAAAAGGCGCGCGCGGCTGTGTCTGCAAGCATCAGCATCCACGGCGACGTCTCATCCAACTGCGACAAGAGGGCAAGGACACGTTCCACCTGCTGCCGGAGTCGTCGAATCCACTCAAACGCCTCCGGGGTTGTGGCGGGGTCTCCGGCCTCTTCGCTGCCGTTTTCTGCACGTTTCCCCGCCGCGTCCTCCTCCCGTTTCTCACTCCTCTCCTTCTCCTCATTCTTCTGCGGCGCGAGCGAGTAGAGGAAGCCGCAGCACACGGGCAGCCAGCCACCGATCATCTGCACTACGCTTCTCGCCTTGGCGGGGGTTGTGACCACGACATGCGGGCGTGGGAGACCCCGCGCTGCCGCGGCCTCTGCGGCGGAAAGCGGGGCAGCCAGCATCCACAGCACTCGTACCGCGCGGCCGACGAGTGCGCGGGCCGCGCCGTGTTGCTCCTCCGCCGTGGCGAATTCCGCCGCCGCCGCCGCCGCCGCACACACCCGCCGCACCTCCGCCTCCAGTGCCTGCATCTCGACGAGGAAGGCTTCCCACGCGTGCCGCACGAGGCGCGGCAGCCACGTCTCCTGCTCAACGGGCGTCATGCCCCAGACATCCGTCAGAAACGCCCACACCACGTCCCTCATAGTGCCGCCCGTCGCTGCCTCCGCCGCCGCGTCCCACTCTGGCGCATGCACAAAAAGGACACCGTCGAGAAAAGCGTCTAGCAGCGACGCGGAGGCCGCGCCACCATCCGCGTCCGTGCGGGAGGCCCACCGCGTCGCCCACTCACCAACGACGGCGTGGAGCAGCATCTCGTGGGCGGTTTGGCGGGGCGGCGGTGTCTCCGGGTCAACCTCGGCAGCGGCACCGCCGCCGTTGCACCCCACGCGCCGCTCCTGCTGCGCGGCGAGCAACGCCTCCAGCAGCTGATCTCGTAGGGCAATCAGCTCCGCCTGCCACCGCGCCATTCGCGCCGGATCCACCCCGGCGCCACCGCCCCGCTTCGCCGGACCGCCGCTACTTGTCGCTGTTGCCTCCAGCATCTCCCGGGCCTTTGCCTTCACGCCGTCGACGGCCGCCGTGGCTGGCCCCGTCACGGCGGCGGCCTCCTCCGACAGCCGCCGATGCGACCACCAAAAGTCGCACGACGTGCCTTCATTATCCTGCTGCGACATTTTACCCGCAACCACGCACAGCAGAGAGGCAACAACAACAACAAAAACAATAACAAAGTAACGGAAGTTCCTTTTGGGGTTAATTGGCCCGGCCCTCGGAGTCTCCCGTCAATTCCCTATTCCGGCGTTCCAGTAAAACAGAGAAACCCAACGAGGGCAAAAAGAACGCGTACACACAAAAAAGAAGCAAAAAAAAAAAAGAAAGGGCGGACGCTGGTAACGATGATAGAGAGAGCAACGACCCCCCCCTCTGTGAAGAGCATGACATTGGGCACCACACACACACACACACACACAGAGAGAGAGAGAGAGAGAGAGAGACAGGTGCGCCCTATTCCACCACCTGGCCCGCAGTCAGAGACGTCCAGTATGTGAGCATGTGCGTGGGCGTGTATACGCGCAAATATCAACAATAAATAGTTATCTTCCATACGGCTCTGGGAAACTCACACGTGCAAACACAAACAGTAGACAACTCCACAAGAGCACCCCATCAATGATGTTGTTATCAACGCCTCTGAGTTATGTGCACAGATGAGGCTGGCCACGCCCACGCCCACGCCCACACATGCACGTCAAGAGGCACGAGTCATACCGTCGCTTTTTCTTCTCCCTGTTTTTCTTCTTCCCTTCTTCTTCCTCACGTGAGAGTTTTATCGAGAGAAGCAACCGCGCCAAGCGATCAACACCTGCGACGAACGTCAGGGCGGTTTCTCGGTGCTTCGCTGCAGGGCCAAGGAGCGACGCACGTAAAAGGTGTGGTCCGCAATTCCCTGCTGCCGCAACTCAAAATACTGCGGATACTTCTCAAAGTACTGAAATGCCTTCACATTCGGTTTTCCCATGCATTTCACCCGCACCTCCTCCGGTATACCGAGCTCAGCAAAGGGCGACCACTCGTTCGGGATGTACTGCAGCACTGTGTTAATTCGCTGCTGCCTCTCCGCTACGGGGTCTTGCTGCAGAACTCTTTCATTGATGTCTCTGCTCCCTCCAGAGGCCGCCGCAGCCGCAGGGGGCGTCTCCCTCACCATCCGCCGCGCTTGCTGCGGCACCAAGTGCGGTGGAGCACAGTAAATCGTCCTGTTCCGCAGGCTGCCCTGCTGATACAGTGCGAAGTGCCGTGGGTAGCGCAGCAGCAGCTGCTCCAGCGGCTCCCCGTTCCTCGCCAGCGTCCTGCGGCTCGTGGGGGAGAGGGCGCGGAAGAGGGAGCCGATCGGCACAGGGCGGCTCAGCACCGCCTGAATCTCCTCCAGCAGGTTGTCCAGCGCCTCCTGCGGGGAAACCGCCGCCGCCGCCGCGGCGCCTGACGACCCCGACGAGGAGGTCGAGCCGACCTGCGCCGCGGACGCGTTTGACGCCCCGTCTCCGCCGGGCGTGGACTGCAGTCGCCGCTGCGCCACGATGGCGCCGCAGACGTGGCGGGCAAACGGCTGCGGCGCCGCCGCCCCCCGGCGCACCAAAAAACGCGCCGCCGCCCTCCACTGCAGGGCCCCGCGACGCACCACAAACATCCCTACAGGCCTCACACTCCCACAGTGTCTTTCTTCCTCCCGCTCTGTTTTGCGCCGCGCCGCACGCGAGGGAAAGAAATAAGACAGAGGGGAGAGAGAAAAAAAAAACTACCCAGAACAAATAAACGCACCGAGGGCAAAAGTCACAGAGGGAAGCGAAGAATGCAGCGACGGACACACTTCTAACAAAGGGCGGTGGCGGCGTTCGGGGGGCCGGGCAAATTGTGAGGGACGAAGAAGGCGGACGTCATCTCCTCCGCGTCGTGAGGAAGAGGAGGCGCAAAGAGGAAAGTGCACCTACTGAAGGCACAGTGCATGCCACTGCGCCCTCACCACCACAACCCCCCAGCTGCACTTCTGCCTCCTTCCGGTCCCGCGCTCTCTCGTAGGCACACAGGCACAGGGACAAATGCATAGCATGTCTCTTGGGGCTCCGCGTGTTCTGCGGCAGTGAGCGGGGAAGCACCCGTCAGTTTTTTTTTAATTGTTTCACGGCGATCCAGCGCTCCTCTGGTTTCTCCTGGAGCCCACCTCTTCTGCTCCTTCCTTGTCGTTATTGTGAAGACAGTGACCGCAGGTCACACACGCCCCCTCGCATTCTATTACAGTGGCCTCCCCACACCACTTCCGTCGCTCCGCCACTTTCGCCCCACGCCACACCGCACCGCCACGCACACGCCAAGCCAAAAAAAAAGGGGGTGGGGGGGGGGAAACGACAAGTCACGGCGGTGGCGAGAAAACACACGGATGGTCGAAAAAAAGGATGGAACTGAAAACAACGCTAACAAGGGAAAA